AAAGCTGGTGATGGGAGCTCTGAAGAAGACCCTAGAGTGAGCTGCAGTGGAACCCAAACCACGGGCAGCAGAGAGAGCAGGCTCAGAGGCACCGTGAAGCAGCATGCCCTGTGGTGCCTGTGCAGGAGATGGGGATGCTGGGCCACCTGTGCTGCTCCCCTGCACAAGATGAGCTGGAAGAAGTGTGTAAGTGCTGCCTGGCCCAACAGCAAGCACAGTGCCAGGAGTGGGTCAGCTTGCTGTGGCACAAGGGCTGCCCTTCCTTGGGAGTGGTGGGAATGCAGTCCTATGAAAGCATAAAGCAAGCACTGCCACAAAAGGTGTACCTGGATTCACTCAGGTGTAAACTGCAAATGTGGAGCTCTTTGAAGTATAATTATTCTCTTCGCTTAGCTTCAAGCCCTGAACAGGCATTTACACTGATGAGGACAGTGGAGGTCTGCCCTCCCTGTGTCCAAGCTGCCTCAGCTCCAGCACTCCTCACTGCAATGACTCTCATGGGCAGCTTTATAAAAAAAGGCAAAGCAAAGCAAAGCAAAACACATGCACACCCCACCACTACCACCTTCGCAAGAGGAGATCCCTCATTCTCCCTGTGCAGGATTTAGTCTGTGTCATCAAATTCCTCTGCAGCTCTCAGTTGCTCAGTTCACATCTCCCAGGCTCCTCGCCAAGCCCGGTGCTGTGTCCTGCACACTGTCCGCTCGGCTCTGCGCTGCTGCCCACTGTCCCAGCAAGAGCAGACCTGCAGCTCCAGCCCCCCAAAGCTCCTGTTTTGCTGGAATTCTGTTTTTCCCTCAATTGGAAAGCAATCCAAGAGCTTCACGATTTCCCTGAAAGACGTTTTTAAGCTGGTTTCAAATACGATTTCGCATTGCCGTGCAAGAATTTCAGTGTCGTAACATTCATTTCTATTTTTAGGCCTCTGAAAACAGATAGGAAAATACTGATGACATCAGCAATTGGTGAGTGTCAGCAACCCATTCGCTACCAAATGGAAGCTGCACAGGCTGGAGATGGATATCTTACATGTATCTTACCGTTACATGTAGCTTCTGTGTGTGATGATGTAAAGCTTATTGCATACTACAGCAGAGGCTGAACAGTCTCCAGAGGTCCAGAGAAAAGGTTTGTTGGTCCTCCCTTCACACGCCAGCAGTGGCAGTACCAGCAGCTTGAAACAGCGAGGGGGGTATTGACACGAGTGAAAAATTCTCTGTGTAACATCAGGAGTGAAACATCAACACACTCCAAAACACTTCGTAAATGAAAAATTTTTCCCTAATTTTTTTTTGTGTTGTTTGTTTGTTTGTTTAAAATTGGATGAAGCCAGTGCAATTTCTAACAAAAAGCCATTAGGAGGAAAAATGCATTAAATCCAGCCAGTTCTATCCAGCTCCTCCTCACTTTTTATTTACCTCTCTCTGTGACACCAACAAACTGCTTTGTCTTGGTGGGTAGTTCCCTTAAGCCTTGCTTCATACTGCAGACCTAACATGTTGTTTTAGCACTTTCCTGCTGCGTGCCCCAGGTGACCGCCTGTGTTTCATGGACATTTGTAACCCTGCAAGATACAGAGGGGCCAGAGGAGCCCAGGCACAATCCTACACCTTCATGCTTCCTAAAACCCTGCTGGCTTTGCACCATCCTGCAGCAGACCTCAGTTGCTAGGAGCATTCCTTGGGTTGGGTCTGAGTTCCAGACCCCAGGATCTGGGTTCCAGACCCCAGGATCTGGGCCATCTGATAGCTTGGGGGAATGGAGCTGGGAAATACCCGTGGCAGCCCCGCATCGCCTCCCAGCACAGCCCGTGGCTGTTTATGCATTTCTTTTGTCAGAGACCTGGCAACCAGCTTTTAATCCTAGCCCAGTGTGAATTAATTTTGGAGTAAGCTTTTGTATCGAGTGCTTTCCTAAGATGTAGCTGTATTACATCTGCTGCTCTCCCTTCATCCACTAATTCGCTAATTCTATCAAAAACAAGCATATGCTTTTCTGACACACAGCTTCCACAATGAAACAGAGCAGTGGAATAAAGGGCTTCATTTACTCATGGAAACGAGTTATCTGAGGCTTGATCTTGTCCTCACTGAGGTCAGAAACAAAATACCCACTGACTTCCACGTGAGCTAACTTGGACCTTGTGGTCTGCTCTGGGGTTTGAGCCTGATCCTGCCTGAATGCTCACTGGAGCCGGGGCTGCCAGGGTGTCATCCTCCCCGCTCTCTGACATCAGAGACTGCTGGAAAGAAAAATGACTGTTGTGCCACAAATAGCACGATTGAGTCACTTTGCTACAGGATCAGCTCAAAGGAGGGGGAAATGGCTGGTGAGAAGGTAGAAGGAGGAGGAGCAGAGCAGTGCTATCTTGCTTGGGCAGAAACAAACAAACGGGCCAACAAATGTTAGAAAAGAAGAACCAACAGAAATTGCCTTCTTCAGCTTTCTTCTATCAGAGCAACTCCATTTTAAAATCCTTTCAAAAATGCAAGACAAGACAAGATGGGCTTCACCCTACAGGAAGGACCTGCACTTCCCTTTCTGTTTGCAGAGCAAGTGTCGGTGCACGTGTACAAAGATAAAGGGAGCACAGGTGAATGTTTAGCTTGTTTTCTTACCTGCTTACACCTGCTGTGCACATGGCTGTGTATTTTTGAATACGTTCACAATTCTTTGCACCTGCAAAACTGTACTTAACGCTTCTGTGGTCAGCAAAACCACAGGTGCAGGAGTCAGTCCAGACTGCAAGCCCTAAAGGAAACGTCATCTGTACCACTATGAATAAATTTTGAGACTTCAGGCATTCAGGGCACCTGGCTTGTCCCCCTGTATCCCAGTGCCTTCAAGGCATTAAAAGCTGGCCACCCTGGCCAGAGGCACAGCCTAGGAACAGAAGTTGCAATTGCTTGCTGCTTCATTTTTGCAGTTGCAGTTCTCTCCAGGGGCAAGAGAGCAGCTTCCAGGAAAACCAGCCAAAAGTTAAAACAACACAGGCAGCTCTTACTATGGCCCTGGAAATAACAGGGGCAAACAGCTGTCATTTTCTTTCTTTTGGCCTGCATGCAGTTTTCCTCAGCTCACCCATTTACGCAGGCGCTGGGAGGGAGCTGAGCTCCCCTGCCCATGCTGCAGGGCCCTGCAGGAGGACAGGGGCAGGTACAGTGCCGGAGGTGCTCATGCAGCATTCTTGCCCTGCAAATCCTCCATGGGCTTCCACTGCTCTTCACCCGTGCAGCAGGGTTCACACTGTTCGCTCTTGGAGCTGATTAAATGGCAGCTGATAAAAATATACTAGATACCAGCATCTCTGCTTCTTTTGCTGTGCAGGTGCATGCTAAGGTCTCCTACCAGCCTGGGGGAGGCAGCTCTGCACTCAGGTGGGCTGGCTCAGCAGCTCCAGCTTCACAGCACTTTGTGCCCCCTCCTTCACAACAGGAAAAGATTTCTGCTCCTACATACCCTGATTCAAAGCATCTTCTTGCCCAGCCCAGCCTTCGTACTTTGTTTAATGCAGCGGAGAAATCTGGGGTAGCCAGCTGGGTGAAGGTTACAATATTTTTGGTGAGTAAAGTTCAGAGCAGTATCAGCCAAGCAACATCACTGGCCCAAGGTCAAGAGATGGATGCTCTTGGGAAAGGAGAGGTGGAATTGGTGGAGGCTCACAGCTGAGCTTATTCCATCTTTTGCTGTATCAGAAGAGCAAGAAGCACACTCTATTCAGAAGGACAATTAAGTGCAGACATCAGAAGACCTACCTACTCCAGCCTGCTCCTTACCACAAGCAGCCACTGCTTCTTTTTTGGCTCTGCCATAGGGAAGCACTGGGTACAAGTCACCCCATTGTCCCTAGCAGAACAATGCCCTGTTTTGCTGTGCCCACACTCAGCCCTGCTCTCCTAGAAGCAGCACTGCTACTTGAAAAGGAGGAAATCATCATAGAAAGTCAGATTTTGTCATAAAGCACAAGGCAGCAGAAGAGCTGATACTGTAAATGGGAAGGGTGGGTGTACCCTCTTTGAAAGAGAAAGGTCTTTCCTCCCCCTCTGCTGCACTGGGACTTAAGCCCAGAGCTGCTACCACAATCACTTGTGAATGTGGAGGCAGGTTGAAAAGCCAGCTGTGAATTTTGGTAGTCGAAAAGGGAATAAAAGAAAAAAAGAAAAAGCAAAAAACACACAACACAAAAAAACACCCACCAAAAAAAAACCCCAAAAAACACAAAAAACAAAAAACTAGTCAAACAAAAAACTGTCAAAGCAGACAAACACAGGGTTGGGGAAACCATTGCCTAGATCTCAGCTACAGTATCTAAAACTGTGCTGCACTTCTACTTACAGCTGCAGACTTCTCTTTTAGCCCCTACCTGCCCTGGCATCTCCACAAATCCAGGTAACACAGCAAGCCAGCCTTCACTGCACTCAGAGTACTTTCAAATTCTGTGGACTGCCAACACAAATCTGTTCTACACACCACAAGAAGTCTCCTCGCTGAGGACCATTCCCCTACTAAATATCGACTTTCAAAGCACAACCATCAAAATTGCTATGATAAAGACAAGCAATTTTTTTTTTTTAATGGTCCAAAAACATTTCTTATATTTCATGGTCAAAAATGACTGAAATGTTTGGATTCAAGTGCTACAGAAGTTAGGTACTGGAGTAATGAATTCTTGTGTCTCTAAGCCAAACTTACAGAAAATTATAAGCAACTGAAAATGAGTTTTTCAAATGGAAGTGAATGCACTGTATAACAGTAACCTGAAAAGCACAGAACCAACTCTTCCCATCTCCAACACCTGTCTATATCAGTAGAGAGATCTTTGGCAGTCTGAAGGTAACAACCATTTCCAGCCTGGAGAAAGATGCTTAAACCTGTGCAGCACCTGAGTATGGCTTGGGTCCCTGTCTGCGCCTTAAGAAAATACGAGAATATCATTCAAATGAAGGAAATTCAGATGATCATTCACAAACATAACCAACAAGAATCCCCCTCACACCTACCTCAGGCCGTACAGAACCGTCCCATCAGGATGGAGCCGAATCATGCGATTCTTCACTGTCACCCCATGCAGAAAGGACTTCTTGTCATTCAGGAAATAGGTGTCTGGCAGCCACAGCTGGTCAGCCACCCGGTTGTCCAGGGTCAAGTTGAGAGGAAGGTCGTTATATGCCAGGCGTTTGTCCCGCCAGCTCTGCTGGAAGTACATGGTGATGGTGTAGTCCTAGGAGAGAAACATGCAGAGACATAACTCAGACCCTCTCTGCTGCCACTGCGGAGACATCTGGTGGGTTTTTACCTTTGCTGGCACCCAGATGCTTCTTTCTAAACCACCATCAGCTGGGGAGGGCTGTGTTTTCTTCTGGGAAAATGGAAATAAGGCAGTTGCTAAAAGCCACTTCTAGTCTGAGCAGAAATTCAGGAAGCTCCCGAGGGCACGTGGAAAATCTTACCTCTGGGTCAAGGATTCAAAGTCAGCCCAGGCCAGCCATGACAAGCTATTATTGCCTGCCTTGTTATACGAGCAGAGTTGGGAGCTCATCGAGATTCTTGGTGAGGGACATATGTGGAGGAAATCTGTCACCAGTGGAGCATGATCGACTGGGTGAGGGACAGTGCCCTAACCATCCTCAGCCCCCGCAGTGCTGTATGTATCTCCTGCTCCCTTCCACTCCAACTGTACAAAGCTGAAGCTTAAAACAGCAGCTAAGTCAAGATTTTTCTAAGGGGAATGGGGAGATGTTTTGTGGCCCATAGCTGTAGCCTTGCAGAAACTACTTTAGATGCTCTACAGTAACTGTATATCCTGGAGAGGCCTAGAGGCCCCAAATCAGCTTATTCACCAAGACATACACAGTGCTGCGGCGCTGTGATGGAGGGATAATTGTTTCCTTCCAGATAAATGAGTGGTACAGGAAGGGGTCTTGCACAAAATGATAAAATATTCACTCAACAGCTCTTAAATAGGCCAGGAGCCAGATTTTTATGGGTAACCAGCTAACAAGATGTAGATAAGGAAGAGGGCAGGGGAAACCACGTGCAGAATCTTACAGAAACCAGTAACTTTTCACAAGTTCCTAAATAAAAAGCACTCTGCAAATGCACGCAAACGAACTGTTGGGGTCAGAGATATGTTTCTTCCTATGCAGATACGGACAGCACAACAGGAGCCCCCTGAACCTTGCAGGTTTGCATGAGGGGCATTTCTGCTGTGCAGAGGAGGGCTGGTGAGGACCTTGATTCTGCACTAACGTCTGGGCTGAGCGCAGAGGCATCCTGCCTGCCCACCTCCTCCCACTTACTTTACTCAAAGCCAGGTTTGGTTACCTCTGAAAACAAGCTCCAATAATCCCACTGTATGTGCCATGGCATGCCAGGGTTTGAGTGCCTAACTCTGATTAAAAGATCTAGACCCACGTGTACATCCAAAAGGTCACGGAGCAACAAATATGTGGTGTTGTCTGGATACAAAAGTTATTTCTGTCACCTTTGCATTATATTGAGAAGAAAAAAAAATAGTGCCTGTTTTCTGGCCTAGAAATTGTTTTCCTATGATTTTTAAAGGACTAAACTCTTGCTAACTCTTGCTTCCCAATCCATCCCTCATTCTGATTTTGGCTAAGGACCCTGCTAAAAGAAAATGTTCTCCCTGCTTACCTCTCCCAGTGGGTAAGGAAAGGCAAGACCTGTGTTGGAAGGACCCACTCTGCTCTGCCCAGCAGCTCTCAGTGAGCTGTCAGCCCTGAGCCCCCTCTCTCAGCCTTTGCAGAGGCTTTGCTCTCTTCTCCTCCTGCTACCTATGTGATGCATGCACAAAGCAGAGGTGAGAGTAGCACGTGGAGCTGGCAGACACTCCAGACCTCCTGTAAGGAGGGAGAGCAGCACATGTTGAGGCCAGCAAAAGCCCCAGAGAATGAAGAGGAGCTTATCTGAAGGCCTCACATGTTAAAATGGCAGTGCATCCTACCAGCTAATGAGGAGAGGGCTGTTAATGTACATCTACAAAAAACAGAATGTGACTGATAGCTCATCCTTTCTGATGCAGTAGAGACCTCAAAACAAAGACAATGTAAGGGGACTTGAACAATGAAAGGCTGGAATGTGGACACAAGAGGGGTATGGATGGAGAAAGGTATCTCCTGCAGAACTCCAGAGAGGACAAATGCAGAGCAACAATATGAGGGTCTCCCATTTTCCCCAGTTAACAAGTAATTGTTATCTGCTACTTCAGCTTACAGAGTAAGCTTCTTTTGTAAACATAATGGTTACTGAGCAATATACAAACAACTAAATGCACCGAAAAAAACCACAACAACAACAAAACAACAGTAGAAAGGCTCTGATAGAAGAAGGAAGCAGCAAGGGAGGAAAAATAGTGCACAGATTAAATACTAAATACTAAGCAGAGGCTTAAGATGACAGCATCTGATTTTCTGCAGTGGGTCACTGTACAAGAACAAGCTGAAGGTAAAGTAATGAAAACAACTTTCCACAGAAGCGATGGAACTTGTTACAAAAGCAGGAGGTCAGCTGCTTTACAGTGTTCTGGAAGGCTCAGGCATGATGTGGAGAAAGCAGTCCTCCAGGTTAGAAAAGGGAGGGACTAACATGCCAGGAAAGGAGAACAGCCCAAGGATGCAGAGCATCCTGCTGCAAGGCAGAAGCTCCAGCTCCCAACAGACAGACACCAGAAGCATCCCTCCTGGGCAGGCTGCTCATAAACCATCAGCACAGCTCCTGGCAGATGTGGATCATTGGAAGGTTAGATCTGATTGGTTTCCTCTGTGTTGTGACCTATACAGACCCCAGTATGAAACCTGACCAGAGGCAGAAGTGTGCAGTCTTGTTGCAGGCTACAGTAGATTCAAAAGCCAGAATTAGAAATCGAAGGAATACTACATGCAAAATAGTCAAATCTTTGCTTAGAATACAGTATTATTGGCAACATGGGTGTCTCCTGTGCCTAGCCCACGTCTCCAGTGCCTTTCTTCTAAAGTGAGAGAGCTTTTAAAGTGAAGGCAACAATTTCAGACTACATTTCACCAAAAACTTGAAAGTTGCTGGAAGCAATGAGGAGAATAAAGGCCATTTTACAACTTACTCCATCTCCAGATGTGCCACTTAATTTTGTCCCCCAGTTCTCCCTCCACCCCTAACTTTGACAAAACAGCTCCCTTTGGAGAAGTGACCAAATAAACGTCCTACCCCATATAAGCAAATGACATATGGTCTCCTTGTCCAAGATCGTAAAAGAACATTAGGAAAGCCAAGATGCTTCAGAAAGAGAGAGAAAAATGGAACATCTGACTTAGTAAAAACCAAGCTGCCACTGCCAGAGACTAATGAACAGTTTGTTGGCTTCAGCTTCTTTGATGATTAAACACCAGCTCCTGTTCCCATCATTCCTGGGAGAGAAATTAAAGGACAAAGTAGTCCTCCAGTATGTTTTATTTTAAGGAGAGGGCAGGGAAAATAGGAATTATTTTTAAGGGAAGGAGAGAATGTGCCTACAATCTTTTGCTAAGAAACAGAGCAGTGTAAAATGCACAAGAAAATATATGAAGGACAGAGCAAGATGGCCACAGTTCTTAGCAAGCTTGTTTAAGAAAACTCCTTTGCCCTCACAATGGATTGTCCATTTCCATGCAGATAAAACAAATCAACGTGTTCTGGATCTTAAAAAGCACCAGTTAATCTGGCATTAGTAAAGGCACAACGACAGTCTTTCCTTCTCCAAGACAGCACTAAGTCTGTCTTAGGCTCTCACCTTTGCCTAGGGCAGGAGGCAGCAGCTCTTGTACTTACTGTGCTTTTCATGGGGAGAGAATTCTGCCAACATCCTGCTTTTAATTTATCTTCTGGTGCAAGCCAGTGCCCAATTTACAAGTCTGAAGTTCTGCATGACAACTGCTATACTTAAAGTGACAACTATTTTAGATATTGTCCTTCTTCCTGTTCTTCAACTTAGAAGGAGAGAAATCCAGAATCTCTTTCCATCTACCCTAATTTTGAATAACCCAATATCTCCAGATATAGGTGACAGGAGAACCACATTGTACCTTGCCAACAATGCAAGGCAACAAATGTGTTTTCTTCTAGGACAGGCTTTGTGCACCTCTGTACAGCAGCTCTTTGTGATCTTAAACTCATTTTTCTTAGGACCTTGGAAGAAGTTTGCATGGAGATGTTTCCCCTCACCAATCTGATCTACTTTTTAGTAATTTGCATGTGTTTAATTGCTGAATGCATGTCCAGAAACTGGGACATATCAGCTGTATCCTCAACAACTAGGGGTGTGCAAGTGAAGTGTCATCTTGTTGCCCTATTTCTCTCCTGCCACACTCCATCTCTATAGCATCTGCACTGGTGCTAGTTCTGCATTATGTTAGCATGCTACATGCTTGCATTTTGCACACCCACAGCAAACCATAGAACGGCACTGCTGGCTGCATCTCATTTCTTCACCCATCTCCCAGCTTCCCCCAGCCCATCTATTTGTACTTCCTAGGAGCTACCCTTACTGCCTTGCAATATATTACCAGTGCCCTGCTGCATGCACATACAGGCATATCTAATATACAGCCATTAAAGCTCAAAAATATGTATGTAATAATCATTTGTATCCAATTAAACATGCAACAACTGGCCTATTCAGCTAAACTGAATTTGAGTGAGACATTTAAGCAGTGACTAATGAAGATACTGGTTTCTAAAGCCCTCAGATGGCTGAGGGGAGAACGCTGAACTATGCCAAAGGAGTGGTGAAGCTGGAAGACCAATGACACTTCCTAAACTCTTTCAAAGGTGCTTCACAGCCTCTGCATGCACCGTCAGAGAATTTTCATTTTACAGTGACTTTCTTACCTCTTTCTTGCTGAGAGCTGCTCAATTCAAGTGATCAACACTCATTATGCTTTCTAGCAGGAACAACACGGTAGCAGTAAAATGCAATTTCACTAAAACATTCCCAGAACTCTTCATTCCTCTGGGCTATTATTTTTGAAGAATTATTATTATTTTTTAATGAAATGTCCTCTTCATCGTCTTGTAAAGAGGTTTATTGGACACCAATCTGGTCGAACCATACTCCAGACAGGAGATTTTCTGAAGCCTTCCAAATAGACACTGACTGCCAGACACTATAGGAAGAGAAGGGAGGAATGGCAAGGAGAAAAGGATACTTCTACATCCTTCAAGGGACTTAGAAGCCCACTGGGATTAGGT